GAGCAGGATAACTAGAGCTACACGCAGAGAAACCCTGTCTTGAAACCCTATCCCCTTCAAGAAAAATTAAAAATATATATATATATATATATATATATATATATATATATTAAAATGAGAGAATATTTAAAGATTTGAACTTTTATTTTACTCATTAGATATTGGTAGATACTGTCTGGGCGCTGTCTTACCTTACGGATGCTGGCAATGAACAGATACAGATGGTAATAGACTCTGGAATAGTTCCTCATTTGGTTCCTCTCCTCAGCCATCAGGAAGTTAAAGTTCAGGTAAGTTCATTTTGATTTAAGTTGGGTCTTTTTTCACCACTAATTGCTCTAAGCATGACATTCAAAGTTTAACAGTTTCAAAATGTATAATGGTCACCTGACAATGCAGTATGTCTTTGATTTTAATTGTAAAGGTGGAAAAAATGAGGTAAGAGTACTGCAGTTGATTCAGAACCTGCCTTAACCTGCCAGGCAGGGAGACTCCACCGTGTAGAACCGATTTCTAGTATACAGAAGCATGATTCAATGTAGCACCCTGGGTGGCATCTGAAACCATTCTGTTTGTTTTTCCTCTCCCTTTCTCTCCTGAAAGCATCCGCTTGTATTCATCTAACAAGCTTGGTTAACACTGACTTACTGATTTTGAACTGATATGTATAGTTGTTTCTTTCTGTTTTATTCTATTATTTTTAAGTTCTATCACATGTCCTTTATTTCAGTGAGCCTGTCTATAAAAAGCTTAAAAAAATATAGAGCTGAGGATATAGCTCCGATGTACAGCACTTGCCTCACTTGTACAAAGTTCTTCCTCTAGAACAACATGCAAACATACATGTACACACATACTAATATACATACTTGAACACACACATGCACACACTCACATACACACACAGTGAATAGTCAGCCTGCAGGGGTGAAGGAGAATCTATAAGCCTTCCTGTTGGTATAAGGTTCTTGTGGAATGTATACAATTTACCCTTGTTCATTCAAATGCTGATTTCTCTACCCTACTCTCTGGTTTCAATCCTGACATTGCATTGTGATGCTTATTCTAAGCATCACCTGTCTCAAGTTTGTGTAAATATTAAACAACCAACCAGCCGATGCTGTACAATGGAGAGAATAGGGTGGGACATCCTGGTCCAGAGATGGGAGGAGAAGGAAGCAAGTAGGAGGAGGAGAGAGGAGAGAATCCGCAGGAGAGGTCATGGAACCATGTGGAGAAATGGAACTGGACCTAAGACATGATATATATCAAATATAATGGATAAAATCTGAAGTGGTAGGAAACTGTGTGGGCTTGGAGGTTTAGGATGGAGTAACTATTGCCCAGCATTGTGCTCTAGGTTAATTAAATAAATCCCAGTCTCTATGTGATGATTTGGGTATACAGCTGGTTTAGGAATAACCACCATTAACTACAAAATAAATCATAATAAATATTAATATACAACAATACGTTCCCTACCTATTTAAGATAAATAATGAGTTCTAATCTTACAATGGCCTAGTGTCTTAAGGACCAAGAAAGCTGTTAGCCTGAGTCACTTTTTCTTGCCCTTGCTGGACATTAGAATCAACTATGAATATATACCTAAAGAAGATGAAGAAAGAGGACCTGGGGTAAGATGATCAATCCTCACTTAGAAAGACAAATGGGATGGACATTGGATGTAGGAGAAAACAAGTAACAGGACAGGCGCCTACCACAGAGGGCCCCTGAAAGACTCTACCTAGCAGTGTACCAAAGCAGATACTGAGACTCATAACCAAACCTTCGGCAGGGCGCAGAGAATCATATGAAAGAAGGGGGAGTTAGTATGACCTGGAGAGGACAAGAGCTCCACAAGGACCAAATATATCTGGGCACAGGGGTCTTTTATGAGACTGTTTCTCCCACCAAGCACCATGTATTGGTTATAACCTAGAACCCCTGTTTGGATGTATCCCATGGTAGCTCAGTATCCAAGTGGGTAGGGGAACAGGGACTATTTCTGACATGAACTCAATGGCTGGCTCTTTGACCTCTCCTTTCCCCTCAATCCCCCCACTGAGGGAGGAGCAGCCCTGCTTGGCCACAGAGGAGGACATTGCAGCCTGCCCTGAAGATCCCTGATAGGCTAGGGTCAGATGGAAGGGGAGGAGGTCCTCCCCTATCAGTGGACTTGGAAAGGGGCAGGGAGGAGATGAGGGAGGGAGTGTGGGACTGGGAGGGAATGAGGGAGGGGGCTACAGCTGGGATACAGAGTTAATAAACAGTAATATTAAAAAAATAAAAAAAAGAGTGGAAAAAAAAATCAACCATGAAGTTTAAAGGAAAAAACAATTTCCCTTCCTTACTCCCGAGAAATTAAAAATTTTCTATTTCCTACAGATTTGAGCTAGCTCTTGTAATAATTACTGGTATGTAGTTAACAGTAGAGCAACATTGACTTAAGTTTTAAAGGGTACTTGAGAGATGGCTCATTGGCTGAAGTGCAAACATGAGGACCTGAGTTCAAATCCTCAGTACCCACATATAAGCTGCTGTGGCAGTTTGTGCCTGTAATCCCAGCACTAATCCAGGCTCATTGAGAGAACTTGCCTCACAAAAAAGGGAACACAGCAATAAAGGAAAACACTGAACATTGATTTGTCAAGCTCGTGTGCATATATATACAAACAAAATAAAACAAGGTTTTCTTTTTTTTTTTTTTTTAATTAAAACACTTAAAAAAATAAAATAGCCAGGTGGTGGTGGCTCACACCTTTAATCCCACAGAGGAAAGTGGATCTCTGAGTTTGAGGCCAGCGTGGTCTATACAGGGAATTCCAGGACAGCCAGAGCTACACATACAAACCTTGTCTCAAAAAAAAAAAAAGGAAACAGCTAATTCAGAAAGATTTCCCTAACCATTTTTTAAACACATGTTGTTCTGTTTATTATTCCATCTGCATCTCCTTGTGCTGTGTATGGAGTACACACACATGTATGTGCGGCAGGTGTGCACCGGAAGCCAGAGGAAGACCTTGGGCACACTGCCTGCATCCCAGTGTACCAGGGTTTCAGGTGGACGCATGAGCCTGACTGTCTCCTTAACATGGTTTCTGGGGAGTTGTTTTAGCAAGAACTCTCAACCTACTGAGCCATCAGCCAACCCCAAATTACATATAAGTTTGCTGGTTTATTTTTGCTTAGCCTGGGCCTACTAGCACAGCCCCGTGATCCCAGTACTTTCAAGGTAGAGGTGGTAGGAAGATCACACAGTTAGCCAGAGCTGCGTGAAGCCGTGCAGGCATGCACCCCCAGAAAGATCAGACAGTACTTCTTCTTTAGGTTTGATACTGGCCTTAGAATTGTGGCTTGAGAGTGTAGGGCTTGGAGTTTTGTTTTAGTCAATCCTCACAAAGTTAACCCTTTGTACTTTATCAGTAACTAACAGGCATTTTAAGCTTCTCAACTTTCATGCCATGTAGGCTTCATATGTATCTTTACTCCCCCTAACATTTAGACATAATTTTAATCTCATGTAGCATACTGTTTCATCTGTGTACATCTTCAAAAATTAAGACTTCTTAAAAACCAGGCTGAGCAGCTAAGACTGCTAACTGCTCCTGAGAGGACTCAGCTTCCCAAGCACCCACATGGCAGATCTCAGCTGTTTGTAGCTCTAGCTCTGGAGGACACAACACCTTCTTTTGGCCTCCGGGGGGTATGAGGCATACATGTGGTCCACAGACCAACATACAGGCAAAACACCCATACACATAAAAAATGATAATAATGGGTAAAAGATTTGCAGTTTTTCAAGGAAGACTTACAAATGAAAAGATGCTCATTAAGGAAATGTGGGTTGAGTCGGAAAATCATTCACATTCAGAATGACTGCAGTTAAAATGAGAACGATATGGTAAGGAAGGATTACATTGCTTATGGCAGAACTAGAGCGTACTATCCTTAAAGTGAAATAAAAAAGTATAGTGCGACCTAGTGTTTCTACTGTTTTGTGTATCCAAGATATGCATTTGTCCATACAGAAATATGAATACAAATGCCTGTAGCAGCATTATTCATTAATAGCCCCAAAGTGGAAGCCCACTGGTACTAACCACACAGCTGATTATTGCTTGGCTACAAAAAGGAATGAGTACCACTAAGTGCCATGACATGAACTTGTTTCTGTTTATATAAAATTGTAAAATATACAAATTAATAGACATAAAGATGGTAGTTGCCAGGGACTGGACTGATTACAGTGTTGATAACAGTACTAAATTGCCTACTTTCGAAAAAATAAGTTTGTTTAAACAGCGGAATCATTTGTCTTATAACAAGAAAAATTAGAGGATGGAAAAATCAACAGGAAATGAAAATTCCTTTTTTATTTTCATTATGGTAATAATTTCTGTCTAAAATTGCCCTTTTATTGATAACGATTCTCTTGAAATAACGTAAGCTACATAAGGCCTGACATGAATGTATTTCATATTTCCACTGTTGTCCCTAGATCAAGCCGTAAACTCGAATAGGTGCTCAAAAAGGGTGAGCTAGTTGCAGTGAGAGGAGCGCATGAGGGACGGATCCGTCTCCGGGGCTGACACTGGTTGATAGGGACTTAACATCAAGCATCTTGTGATCTTCATTTCAGACTGCTGCACTGCGGGCTGTGGGCAACATTGTCACTGGAACTGATGAGCAGACACAGGTGGTTTTAAACTGTGACGCCCTTTCACACTTCCCAGCACTCCTCACTCATCCCAAAGAGAAAATTAATAAAGTAAGTATTTTTAAAATATTAAAGAAGTAGTTTTTGTTTGTGGAACTAGGTTCTAAGAAATGTGTTGATAGCATTGACTTTTTAATATAAGATGTTAATAGGCCTCAAAAGAAAATATCTTTTAAGATAGTCCTGGGGTTCTGGATTCAAACCCAGAACCTTTGACATGCTAAGCACATGCCTACCGCTGAGCTACACCATCACCAATAAATAGCATTTTTGACTCTCCTGGAAATGATGAAATAGAGATACTTGGGTGTTGAATGTTGCTGTGAGTGGGTATTTTTAATACATATAGTAGTCTTCCTAGTTTAATGTTTCATCAATTCTTAATAGTGTGAATGTGTGCATGTGTGTGTGTGTGTGTGTGGTGGCTACGAAAGGGGGCACTGAGTGGTGATGCTGATATTGGAGTGCATCTGAGGCTGTTGTGAAATGATACGGGTTGTTGGTCACAACAGTGCCGATGATTATAACCCAAAACAGCTCACCTAAGTAGCCCAGCACCCTAAAATCTCTAACAGGCTCATTAAATGTCCTGTGATCTGATCCAGAAGAGTCTAATGTATTCTAGTGTTTACAATTCTAATTAGTAAATTGGTGAATATAAGTTTGGTTAAATTCTAATAATATACTCCATAGGATGTGAAATATTTTTGTTGTTGTTTATTACTAATACAGGTTTTAGTAATGCATTTATTTATTATCTTTGGAACTTGAGGAACATTTGCGACCACTATCATCCTAGCAATAGTATAGCATCCTTGTTGTGTTAAGGGCAGGCAGCATTCAGGGGTCTATAAGGTGGGCTAATCAAGCAAGCCAACAACTGGTTCCACATGTAGCTCTTGGGGGAACTGGTACAGTGACTTTCGCAAATAAGGACACTAAAAACCCACTTGCATTTTTGATGTCTTCATTGTCATGGCTAATTGAGATATATCTACTGGCATAGGATTGGTAAAGTAGACTAGAAAGAGTAGAATAAAACACATTATTTGAGAAAAGGGTGTTGAATCTCATTTGCAATAGTTTTAGAATTTATAGTTTATGACATTTTTCTTGGTATTTGTTCAGCCATGCTTCTTTTGAGTCATACTGCTTCCAAACAGCATTGCCTTGTAAAATTCTTTAGAAGGGTTAGCTCATTTTTATTTGAATTTGAAGCCAGTAGTGATTTGTTCAAAGAAAATTAGAAAGGTATTATTTAATGTATAAATGAAATTGTTATACAGAAAAATTAGATATGGGGGGCTAGGCATGGTAGCACACACCTTTTTTTAATTTCAGCATTTGGGAGACAGAGGCAGATGAATCTCTTGGAATTTTAGGTCACCCAGGGCTATACTTTTATTCAAGTAAAGATTACTTTTTTAAATACAAAAAGGGTGTAGTAGAACTGAAATTTCTAAGATTTTTATTACAGAACTTGTTTAATAATAAAATAATTGAGACACTAGCTAGTGATTACTTTTTCACAGTTTAGATATGGTTTTATCTGTTTTTTTTTTTTTTTTTTTTTTTTTTGAGAAATATTGAAAGCATCTTGTTTCACAGGAAGCAGTATGGTTCCTCTCCAATATCACCGCGGGAAATCAGCAGCAGGTTCAGGCAGTAATTGATGCCAATCTTGTACCAATGATAATACACCTTTTGGATAAGGTAAGAAAAACATGTATCAGAGTAAATACTTTTCTGTTTAACAAGACACTACAATAAAATGTAATCGATACTAAAACCTTTGAACCCAACAATATTATATAGTACAAATGTTTCTTTTGGAAAACTCCTGTCCCTTCATTGTCATTACTCTTCCAAGAGAATCATTGCTTTGGAATTAACTGAAAAGAAGTAGTATCCTTACTGATAATAAATGCTGTTATATTGTTCTAAGCATTTTGGAAATTCTACCTCTATTAATATGACAAGCTGAACTGGCAAGATAGCTCAGTAGATAAAGGTAACTGCCAGTGAGCCTAAGGACCTGAGTTTTAACCCAGGGAGGAAGCAAAGAGCCTCCTCTTCACAGAGTAGTGTCCAACACAGGGGCTATCCTTATTTGACAGATGAAAGTATTGCATGAGCAAATCACTTGCCCAAAATCCAGTGGCCAATGAGTGTGCTGTTGTGTGCCATATTATTCCTTATGCTCACTAAGATTTGGAGAAAAGACTATTTTGTTTTCAGATAAGACTTTGGTTATTGCATGGATTCCTTATTTTATTAAAGAGTGGCAAAATGGTGACTTTTTAATTCTCCCATTCTTTGTGTATTGGTCATAATTCTTCAGTTTTTCTTTTATATTTTTTAATTAAAATATAATTACATCACTCTTCCTCTTTCCTGTCTCCTACCATCCATGGCCTCTCCACTTCCTTTCATGCCCTGTACACCATCAAAAATACCTTTTTTATTTGATTATTATTGTTATATTTTAAATATATAAATATTTACAGCATGCTGAATCCATTTTTGTTGCTTGTGTGTATACAATTTCAGGGCTGACCATTCTGTACTGGATATCTGATTAGGATGGTTATCCTTGGAATAGGCTGATTTTCTATAGTTCTTTGTCTGTAGATAGGACACATGAGATGTCAACTTTTGTCATATGACTTAATATTGGTATTATTTAGGTTGTATTCAGGCTGCCATAGTATTTCAGGTATCACGGGCATTAGCTTTCCTGTCATTTCTGATAAGCACAATCTCACAACAGACTTCCTGGTCCTCTGGCTCCTACATCTTTCCAACTCCTCTTCCATGATGCATTTTGAACCTTAGGTGCAGGAATTATGTTGTAGATGTATCTGTTTGAGCTAGACACTCCATGGTCTACTGATCTCTGTGTTACGGCCAGTTGTGGTTTTCTGTGATGCTCTCCATATGCTGGGAAGAAAATCTTCTTTGGTGAGAGCTACTCTTACCTGTTTTAGAATGTAATTGGGATTGTACTGATCTAGTCAAGTGGCAGTAGTACTAGGTTCTCTTCTAAGACCCAAGACCTCACTAGTCCCAGGTAGCTGACTAGATTTCTAGTACCAAGCATGATTTCCTCCTGTTAGCAGGCCGTAAGTCCAGTTTGATAACTACTGGTTACTGTCAACATATGAGTACCATTATCGTACATTTAGGGATATTTAACCGTTTTGGTTATTGTGGTTCATAGGTATCACATGGCTGGATTGGACTGTTGATTGTTTCCCTCCCTTGGCAGCTTTTATGCTTCCTAGTACTATGGAACTAAACCACAGGAAGAAGGGTTTTATGCTAAATCCACTTTGAATCTTTCTCCTCTTGTGTCCCGATGTGTGAGGTATCGCCAGAAATAGAGATTTGCCTTCACCACTGAGAGGCAGTCAAGGGCAAAAACAAGAGCCTATATTGTACAGGGAATCTATTGAACCCCTCTGACCAACAACTCAGATGAAGGTTTCCTATGCCAGCTACTGGGATTTTTTTCCTAGATATCTTATGCCTCCTTCTGTGAGCATTGTCAGCCCAAGTGCTGTAACTTCAATTATGCTATAGATTTATTTGTATATTTAGATTTATCTGAAATCATATATAATACATGTGTGTTATATTTTTATCTATAATTTATATGTGTGTGATTTATATTTATATAAAAATTATGTTAAATATATTTACATGCGAATTATATGTAGTACGTGTAATTTTATATAATTCTAAATACATACAACTCCTTGGTTTTTAAACTACCTTGCTGTCATTTGTCCTTATGGACATAACTACTCCTTCTGAAGTGAAGTTCTTCCTCCCCAGCTAAAGTCCTGCTCCCTGTTTTTCCCTTTTTCCGTTCAGATCAGCTGTAGCCTGTTATTGCCCCTCATCCTCTACCCCGGTCCCTTTGTAATTTCCTGCTGGCTTCATGTTATAGACTCATTTCTGAGGATTTAGAGTTAGGAACTGCAGATGCGAGAGAACTTAAAGCTTTTGCCTTCCTGGGTCTGGATTAACTCACTCAATGTAATATTTCCTACTTCCATCTATTTGCATCTGAATAGAATTCCAGTGTGTATGTGTAGCACATTTTTGTTATCTATTCATTCATCTGTTGAAGGACATGTAGGATGTTTTCCTTTCCTCGCTATTGTGAATAGGACATTAATGAACATTGTTGAACACGTATCTGCAGAGTGGAATGTCAAGTCCTTTGGGCATATGCCAACAAGTGTTAATAGCTGGACAATATTATGGTAGATTCATTTTTAGCTTTTTTAAGAGTTATCCCTGCCAATTATTTCCAGAATGGCTGCTCCAGTTTGCATTTCTACCAACAATGAATGAGAGCCCCATTCTCCCCACATCGTTATTAGGATTTGTTGTCAATTGTTTTTGTTATTCTTAACCATTCTGTCTGGGTGAAATGAAATCTTAAACTTGTTTTATCTTCCATTTCCCTAACTGCTAAAGATGATGAATAAATTTTGAGGTATTTCTTAGCCATTTTCATTTCCTCTAATGAGAACTCTGTTCAGATCCCTACTCTTTTTTAGTTGGGACATTTGTATTCTTGACTCATTTTTTGCCTTGTTTTACTCTTTGCTTATTCTGGATATTCTCAGTCAAATGTATTACTGGCAAAGATTTTTCTCCCATTCTGTGGGTTTCTTTGTTTGATCATTTCCTTTGCTGTACAGAAGCTATTTAGTTTTATGAGGTCCCACTTACCAATTAATTCCCAAGCAAATGGAATCCTATAAAGAAATTCCTGTCCTACACCTGTGGTACTGCCTATATTTTCTTCTAGCCGTTTGAGCATTTGAGGTTGCAAATTGAAGTCTGTGAACCACTTGGAGTTAATTTTTGTTCAGGGTGAGAGACACAGGTCTGATTCCATTCTGTTGCATGTAGACACCTAGTTTTCCCAGCCACATTTGTTAAAGATGCTGTCTTTTTTCCAGAGGCTGTTCTTAGCATAATCTTAGATGTCTATAATTATGTGCTTATATGTGGGTTTTCTCTTTTATTCCATTTATCTACATGTATGTTTTTGTGCTAGTTCCATACTATAATATATCATAACATAATATTCCATAGCTCTATAATATATCTCAAAGTCTGTAATGGCAATCTATCAAGTATTGCTATTTTTGCTCTGAGTTGCTTTGGCTGTCTGGGGTCTATTACATTCTATATAAATTTTAGGAGGGTTTCTTTCCCCCATCCTCATTTCTGTAATAAATATTCTGAGTATTTTTATTGGGATTATTTTGAATCTGTAAATTACTTTTGTTGGTATGGTCATTTTCACAGTATTTTACCAGTCTGTGAACATGGAGTGTCTCTTCATTTTCTAGTCTGTCTGTCTCTCTCTTAATTTTTTTTTAATTGAGAGATTTGGGGGGAAAAAAATTGTAAAGCTCTTCCACCCGATACTTTATTGTCTTTGAGGCCATTGTAAATGGGTCTGTGACCATGATCTTTTTTTTTTCTCAGCATTTTTGTTGGTGGTTGGTGTGTGTGTGTGTGTGTGTATGTATATATATATATAGGCTACAGATTTTTGTAAGTTGGTTTTGTATCCTGC